AGCCAAAAGCTAATTACCAGAATTCAACTGCTTGTGGAGCGTCTCGTCATTCGCACCGGATGCGATTCTTTAATTTGATTTTAATGTGTCCCTCACGCCTACGGGGGTATGATGACTTTGATAATGATACAGTTGTCATCATCCCACAGTGAACTCTAATACCGGGACATGTTAATTGCTTTTGTGACATTCAACTCATTATGGTCCGTATCATTCTTCAAAACTGCAAGGGTGTGAATTGCAACGAGCCCAACTCCAACCCACACTTAGTTTTTATCACAATGCCCCATTCAGGCTTCATATTAGGCGTCCGCGAGGAGACACATAACAAGTCTTCTTTTAAGAGGATTTTTGACGTGCTCACCCCAAAGGGCAGTAAATGGAAAAGTGACATGGCTCATGCTCTTGTCTGTTTAACTTATTCAGTTCCTCTGTTATATATATTCTGCCTGGAACAGCGGGGTTATTTTCCTCCAGGGTTCACAAGGCCAAGCTCTTTCATTTCAACAGAAAATTGTTTCTTAGGATTTCAATCTTTGGCTGCTCGATATGACAAAACACAATATCAAGAACACTTATGTTTCTTATCTGCCATATTTTCAGGGAATAAATAAAAGATCAGTATAAATCGGAGTCGAGAGATGTGCAGTTTGAGTCCGAGAGGGTAGTACTCCGAGAATCCACACATGCCGGTTTGGCCCGACAGGACCGGGTCGGAATTACCTTTGCTCAGCAAACCAGCGGCTCGTTTGTCATCCTTCAATTAGTAGGTCGCTGATGGCAGAAAACAGATGGAATCTCCTTCCAGAGTGGACAAACGGGCTGTATAAAGGAGAGCAGAAAATATGCATCCTTCGCTATCTTTTCTCTCCACCTATATAGGGATTCTCTATATAACATCTGCCAGCTGTGGTATAAAGTAGGCCTAAAATGAAAAGAGAGTGGACTAAAATAGAAGTAAGGTATTTTCTGTGAATGTGTGAGACTTCCGATTCATTAGCCACTATAGGTAAACAGAGCTGGGTAGATTACTTACAAAATGTAGTGCGTAACTGATTACATGATGAAAAATGTTGTTAGTAACTAATTTAGGTTACTCGTTTTAGGTAACCTAACCTTTAGGGTAAACACTTTTTAGTTTACTTTTTTTTTTTATAGAACTCATTTTAAACGTACAATTGAATATACCATATCGATATAAAAAAGCAAAGAGAAAGAAAATATATTCCATTTTTTGATATCAACATCATAAAATGCATTAATACACAAAACGGGCTCAATATATGAACTGCAGTGGGTAATAATAGCTAATAATTAATTAAATAATTAAAAAAAATGTCAAATAAAAATAATTTAAACTCTTGAACACTAAAAAAATATTTTATTTGTTTACCTGCATGTCAGTGTGGCCATTAACTGATATCAGAGAACTCTAATCATGTGAATGTGTTACCAAACTATTAAAGGGGTCATAGGATGCTACATGCACTTTTACAAGTTGTTTGAACTGAAATGTGTGTTGGCAGTGTGTGTACACAACCACCCTATAATGATAAAATCCACCCATTTTTTTTATTTTTTACTCAAATATTACCCCCTTTCTCAAACCGAGCCGATCTCAGATGCCTGTCTGTGTGACATCACACAGACAGGCCCCTCCCACGATAGTTTGATTGACAGTAGTGTTTCAGCACAGACTGGACTGGCGTCTTACCTTAGACCTGTCCTGAGGGAGCTGTCATCAGTCCACCATTGTTTCACCGCCGGAGCAGATGTAGACGAGAATGACTCCTAAGCGATCGAGGTGTTCAGTTGTTGGATGTAATAATGAACATAGCAGTCCTCATTTACTCCCGACATCTGATCTGCTGAAGACGCAGTGGACTACGTTTTGAAGGGAATGCGCCCCCGATCTGCCTAAATGCTTCTATGTTTGCGCGAATCATTCGTGATCCAGCTTCGCCTACAGAAGACGTGGAGATAAGGTTTTTTAATGAATCTTTGCAAATGGCCTTTCCTAATAATGTGCTAATTAGCCAGTTTCACGATTAATGCAGCTAAAGTAAACAGCTCGGAAGAGAGGGGCGGGATCAGCTCTGAGAGCGGCTCGGAAGAGAGGGGCGGGGTCAACAGAGCTCATTAACATTTAAAGGAAAATGCTACAAAATGGCTTGCTCTGAAAAGAGCTGTATTTGACAGGGTAAAAAAGGTGTTTTTACACAACCATTGAGAAATTGTAACCAAACTATATTACAGACTTTTCATTAAGACCCTAAAGAATCATATCAACTTGTGGAAAATGGGCATCCAATGACCCTTTTAACAGAATCAAGAGTTACTAAAGGTCACTGGATATGATGACAACAAAGTTTTTCACAGCTATTGAAGTTCAGTAACCAGAATAATTATCTGTTTCATACGTGGTTTAATCGCTTGAGAGGTGCTTTTTTCACCCAAATTCAGAAGCATGGTTTCCAAATTTATTTGCATGGCATTTGTGAATATAGTCAAAGCTAAATGGTATGACACACAGTAGGATTTTTAGAAAGGACATTTTAAAAGAGAGAGAGAGAATTAGGGAGAATCAAATTCTGAATGATTTTACTGCCATTGTGTGTAATAATCATGTAATCCATAAAAAAGTAACTGTAATCTGATTATGAGCATTTTTCAAATGTAATATTTAATTACAAGTATTTTTTTTTTTTTTTTACAATTGATTACATAATCCAGATTACATGTAATTAATTACTACCCAGCACTGTAGGTAAATAACAAGAAGAATAACAAAGTGCAGTAAATAGCAAAACTATTTGTGCTACAAACCTTTACAATTACAACAATGATATAAGAAATACCAGTTTGCAATATCAAGCTGCATTTTTTGCACAACTAAAAATAACTGGAAATTGATGAAATGGTTGCACCCGTTCTTACGTTAAAAAATAAGGTGGATAAGGTGAATCTCTTTAAAATCTGGTTGCTGTTGTTCTGAAACACAATGCATTTCCTTTCTTAATTTCACTTAACATCCATATAACTATGCTGTGTATTATACTTAACTGAACAGATGTATCAAGTAGGGAAGAGATGGCATTCAAAAAAAATGAGTTTGAACTACTGGAAATGTGAATCTTTCTATGAGAGAAAGTGAGGTGACTATCAAGATGGATTCATATCTAATCACTCCATCGACCTGAGAGAAATCCTCAATAAAAAAGAGATTGTGCCACAAACATGAAAAGGCGTCTTTGAGCGCCGAGCTCGCAAACTCTTTAAATGGATGGAAATTCAAAGCACACAAAATTATTTTACTGACAGTGCGCTACCAAAGATGTCAAACAAAATAAATGTCATCTCTCGCAGCGTGATGTAGTGAGGAGTTTGACTTCGAAATGAAACGCTCCACGTCTGGGGTGGGCTACTGAGCACCCACCTCACGAGTAATTCACCAACACTTGATTTACATCATATTTGCTGGGAAAGGTTCAAATGTCCTATTGACGGGTTATTTTTTCTGGAGCGCCAGGGTGCTGTCAGAGGTCAGAGAGAGGCGCAGTGTACGGGAATCAGGTGCCACTGTCCCGCTGACAGTGATGCATTGCTGTGCTCAGGGGGTCACGTATCTGTAAACATGCATTATAAAATCCCAAAGACAAATGTGAGAGACTGACCTGAGAGAAAGCGGCAGCGGGAACATGTGTGTGTGTCAAGGGGCAGAGATAGCGCTCTTGTTGCAAATGAAGAGGGTCAAGTAATCAAGCTCAGTTGGGCTTGTGTGTCACTCCCATTATCTAATACTGTCTGAAATGATCAATGAGCTGAAATAAAATGATCACAAGCTAAAATAGGCTCCCTAATGAAAATGGACTGTGTTTTAACACATTCTGCTCAATGTCTCTCCGTGTCAGAGCAGATGGACCACGAGCAGGGCGATGCCGCAGGCCGCTAACAGCCTATTTCAGCCGAGCACACAGATGCTCTCTCACGCTCACTTGAGCAGGGTCACTTAACCATTCAAGTGGCATATCCACTGACCGGCAATCTCTCGACACAAATAACACTAGCTACGACCAATAACTACACATCTCTACCTGCAGAACCATGACACCTTCACTCTCAAGCCCAGAAAATAACAGATTTAGAAAAAGAAAAGAAAGTGACATTTTTAAGCTGTTATATCAGTGCCAAAGAACATGTGATTTTATTTTACATGGGACGGGTCACTGCGGAATAGATGGGTCCCAAAAGGCCTACTACAATGGCATCAATACCTGAAAGCTTGTGTGATGCTGCATTCAAAAATAAATACATATATATATATATATAAATATCCTGATGTATCTGCCTTAAAGAACTCTGCATCTCAACAACGGGATACTGTTTTAAAAACTTTATTTCTCAAACCTTGTAGACAACATAAAACAGCACTATATTTTCGCACATAATTCTATGCTTGATAATCATTAGACAATATATCTGCTTTTCTTCAATATTGAAGCAGGTCAAACATAAAGGCACATAAGGCTGAGAACACTGAAGGGCTGTTTTTATGCCATAATAAATAGCCAGACATTCCTATGGCAGTACCTGAACAGACATGTAAACATGGGCGCAATCTCTCGTGGCACAGCACCTAACGTATGCTACACTTCAAAAACAGGCACTGAGAGGATATAAATATTATAAATATACTTTTGAACAGGACATTTTTGCATTATTGCATATTTTAAATACATTTTTTTTTAAATACATTGTCACAAAACAGTGCTTATATGGAGAATGAAATGAAATGTATGTCAATAGCTGCTTGTCTTGCCAAATAAGAGAATAACAGAGTTATGTGCTGAAACTTCTGCAAAGTTTAACTTCTACATACAGGTTCTATTGTAAACAAAGACACAATGTATGAATATTAAACTCCGCAATGTAACTAATTATTGAATATTCACAGCTCTAATTGGTAGTTTTACAAAGAAAAAAAAAAGCCCCCACAACAATCCCTTTGACCACTGAACTATTTCATAGACTTATTAATCTATGAAATAACACTGCAATTATACTGTGTAGATATTAAAAGGAAACAAATAAACTAAAGGTAAAGAACATGAAAATCAAACCCACACACACACATACACACGCAAGATGAACAGACAGGTTTATATTGGCAAATTCTCTCTCGCTCTATTCCACTTCCATGGCGGACACATCATGTTCGCCGTCTGATTTGTCAGGGAGGCCGGTCTGGGGATCTGCATCTACTGGCTTCTTTTCTTCTGAGAGGCTATCTTCTGCTTGCTGCTCTCCAGGTTCTGCTTTCACATGCCCTGGACTGGCTGCTTTACCCTCTAATGAACAAACAAAACAAGTGCTTGTTAGCAAGATTTCTATTTCACTGCAAAAAGATATATAATTGGCATGTAATTGGAATTTGATGCAAAAAATACAACATTGCTAGATCTAAATTTGGTGCATCATTATTTATACCACCATTAATACCCTAAAAGTGCTCAAAGTTAAAACAAGGCATTATAGACATAACAGTATGACTTTCTGTAAAGCTGCTTTGCATCCGTGTGTACTGTGAAAAGCGCTACACATATAAGTTTGATTTTCTTTTGTTTTAAAATGATCTACGTAAACCTAGCTTAACCTAACAGTCACAACTCAGCTTCATCCACATCCACCCAGACCATTTACTCAAACTAAACTGCAAAAGAGCCTCGATCAGAAACGGGTTATGATGACAACCATTTGCAAATGATGAGAGTCAGAGAGATCAGAGAGAAGGTGGTAAACAGTCATGTAAAATTAAATTACATATATTTTTTTGCATTTATTTGCTCAAAATAAGACCACAAATCAATGTAAAAAAATAAATAAAAACCCTTACTGACCTCAAACATTTGAATAATGTAGAATAAGGGACTATAGACAGTCAGCCAATTATTAAATCATAAATAAAGGCCAGATTTTCCAGAATGTACAAAGTGCAAAATTACAATACTAAAAATACCATTCATAAAATGACAAAACTATTCACTACAAACCAGCAACCATACTAAAAGAAAAAAAAAAATTCAAAAGAAAATTTTACATTTCTAAAAAAAAAAAAAAAGAATTTCAAAAATGAAGATGCATAATTTAAACAGAGCACACACTCGATGTATCATCAGTCATCACTTGCTATTGGCTGAGCACATCATAACAGAAGAGAGAGCAAAACAGTGTGTGTGTGGCAGGTACAGACACAGGGTAAAGCCCTACTAACTAGGCAGCACAGTGGGGTGGAATATAAGACTCTAAAGCCTTTAATCACCTCACAGATCTGCTCTCAGCACATCAGCAAATGTCCTCTCAGAGGGCACGAGCAGCAGGGACACACACACACACACACACACACACACACACACACACACACACACACACACGTCTCATCTCACAATAAACCTGCAGTAAACAAACCCACCCCTTCAAAAATCCTCCTTTAATACTGCGCACAAGCCCTCACACTCCTCAGAATATCAGGAGCATCTAAACATCGTCTCCTCCTGCTGCTCAGGTGAACTCTGGTGGAGATCTGGTACCTGGGGCAGGTGGAGAGCTAGACAGGTCTGTCTCCACGGCAACAGCAGGGGGGTCTTGGCTCATCTTGGTTGCTGCAGTGAATTCTGGGAGACGCGGGGCCTGGGGACGTGTCTTCCGGGCCGGGTTCAGGAAATAACAGTAGGCACATCTGAACGCTAAAACACAAACAATAAAAAACAAACTCATCTCATCTGAATGATCCTCAGACATATGAATATGAAAATAAACATGTAGCACATTAATAATGATCTGTGAATGCATCAGAGAGACATTCACACTTGTTTACATTCAAAAAAAGTCCTCTTCTGATTTAAAGAGCTCAGTGACATACTGAACAGTTAAACGTCGCTTAAAGTGCTGAATTTCCCTCTCAATCTTACCAATATATTCAAACTCCTCCTTTAAAGCCATGCCATTATGAGACAAACACTGCTGGCATATCAGAGCGTATCTGCAATAAAAAGAGAGAAATTATTTAACCGGAAAAGCTTAAATCATTGTGTTGGTTAAGTCTAAGGACGAAAGAAACCACATGGCATTAAAACTAGGGCTGAACGATTTTGGAAAATAATCTAATTGCGATTTTTTTTAACAATATTGCGATTGCGATTTAATTTGCAATTATTTTTTAAAGCTCTTTATTTTCTGTACCTGCCTGGGTCTGTGCGACTTCATCTATGGCTTTTCTCTTCCCTTTCACAAACCGATCCATCTCCCATTCTAAGTTACGTCCTTTGGCTGTTTACGGTTTTATTTCTTTTCTTTTTCTGCTGATGGCCCGCGCTCGACTTGAAGCAGCGCTGCTTAGACCGATGGGTGTGTCATCAAAGCACTGCGAGATCTATAAGAGAGCGGACGTCTCATGCTTTCTCTCGCCGTACTTTGATGTCATACACTCCGTACTTTGAAGTCAAAGACACCTCTTTACTCTCGCGTGTCACGTGACCGAGTGTAATCGCAGCCTCTGCGATTGAAAAATCGCATTTTCTCATATCGCGATATTATCGCAAATGCAATTAATCGTTCAGCCCTAATTAAAACCATATTCACACTCTTAACAGATGTTACTAGTCTGATAAACCTAGCTTAGCCTTCAAAGCTTCATCCACATCCACACAGACCATTTACTCAAACTAAACTGCAGAACAGCTGGTTCAGAAACCAGGGTTATGACGACACCACAAGCACATGATGAGAGTCAGAGAGAAGGTGCGAAACAGTCATGTGAAGTTAAATTAAATTACTTAAGATTTGCAAGATTTGTAATGAGATTACAAATCTTGCATGAAAAATTTAGAAAGTTTGGGGTGAGTAAGATTTTAAAAGTTTTAAAAATAATTTTAAAAAAGTCTTCTACGCCAACAAAAGGCTGCATTTATTATATAAAAAATTCAGTAAAAACAGTAACACTGTGAAATGTTTAAAATTTACACAACCACCTTCTATTATATTTTAAAATGTAATATATTTCTGTATTTCATGCCCGACAAAATGAAAATGTGATCGCTTTGGCAAGTACCAGTGCATGTTTTCTCAAGTTAGGCAATGCAGTATATTATTCATGCGTATAGCACAGAATGGGTAGGGAGAGATACACAACATTTCACATCACTGAGCAATAATATGTCTTTTATAATCCAACCCTGATAAAGAAAAACTGTGAAACAATGTTTTACTTGCAAATGTATCTCATTACAGAAGCTGAAATGCATTCCAAAATTTTCAGGTTTTCTTTTTGTTTTTTTAAAAACAATTTTATTTTGTTTTTAAATTTATTTAAAATGTAATTAAACTGATATTCATTCTCTGAGCTTGGCTGAACTGAAGTTGAACTTCTCTGTATTACATGGTGATCTTTCTTTTTCAGAAATCATATCACACCTTGATTTTGCTCAGTGTAAAGATATAAATCATGATTTCACAATAGACCATTCACCTGTTCTGAGGTCCATCACCCACTAGGTACTCTATGACCCTGTCCATGGCACCTCGCTCTCTGGGGAGGACGGGTCTGGCCGGGACAGCTTTTAATAACGACACTGATATGGACCTCCCTCCTCATGCCCGCTGTGATCCACACTCATAATTAATATAATTTAACATCAAGAGCGATCATAGCGAGAAGACTGGTCATTTCTGCCAGACTTGGCATAGTCAGGCATCCCTGCTGCTTACTCATTTACTGGCATATGGAGACGCCGCAGTGGACCAAGGTGCTTTTCACTTCCAATTTCTTCCTAAAGGTGTTTGCTTGAACAGAACCCAGAACTGTTTGCATAGAGCAAACCTTCCACGACTAACACAGCGGGGCCTGTGTCACCTGTCAGTCACTGCTAGCAGATGTTTGTAATCGACCAGGGATCAAAAAAAAAAAAAAGAGTGCTCTCCATCCATAAGATACAGTTAAAACACAGACGACGACTGCTCCGGTGTTATTTTAGCATTAGATATACACCGATATAGCATTTATTAATATTTTGAATTAGCATTTACTTTTATATTTTTAGCTTTATTTATTTATAATTTTATGTGCATTTGTCATAGTTTTTTTATATTTCTATGTAGTTTTAATTTTATTTCAGCTTTGGTAATTGTAATACTTTAACTTGCAGTTAGTTGGCAAGGCAAAAATTTTGGTTTACCTTTTCATTTCACTTTATATCAGTTAGCAAAAATATTTTTATAAAAACAGACCGAAAGGGCTCTTATTTTAGTATTATTTATATATTAATATAGCATTTATACATTTTTGGAATTAGCATTTTTACATTTTCAAATGTAATTTTAATTTTAGTTTTAGTAATTTTACTAGTTAAATTCAATTAGTTTCCAAGGCAACATTTTTAATTTTAATAGTTTTAATGAACCATAACAACACTGGTTTCCTCAAGGTCTTCTTGACTGCTTATTTCTGATGCAATTCACAGACTCCACATTACTCTTCAGTCACTCTTCAAAATGTAAAATTTACAGCACATTTTCTCATAGTTTTGTTGTTTATATAAAAACCTTGGTTTGGTAAATGGAGGTCATTCAGCTATTAAGAAAATCCAAATGCTGTGAATAGTTCATGTACTGCAGAAATCAAACGTACAATGTATAATATTCAGGCGTTTCAAAAAAGGGGTAAGGTTCCTTTAACAACAAAGGAAATGAATACAGATCTGTGATGAAACACCACTAACAGCCCATCTATGACAAGCAAAGCCAATCAGAGGTTTAGTGAGGGACATGGGACTCACCCATCGCTTGGCCAGGCGTGCCAGCCGGGGTCCCAGGCCTCCTGATCAGACCATGTGGGGTTGAGGTAGACAGACCTTTTTCAGGCGGCCCTCCAGGGGCAGACAGTGGAGTAGGGGGGACTGCAGGGGCAGGGACAAGAGGTGGAAGTCCAGCAGGACGAGGGGACACATGCCGCTGACGCAGCTCTGAGAAGAAAATGACATGATTCTGACAATGAAATATGAAACCTGATAAGCTGAAGTCTACATTTGGGGTCGCTAACATAATTTAGTCACAAATAAAGTGATCTAGAAACAAGAAAAATGACTCAAATCATTTTGTTTCTACCACCATTCCTAAATTATAACACAGAAACCTACCGTTTAAAACCCAACTCACATGTTGCTGGTTAAAACTAATTTCCCTGCCCATGTGGCTTTTCTTTCATCAGTAAGAAAGTGTGTGTGTTGTGTGCTGTCACGGGAACACGGGAAGTCGTGGCCTAATGGTTAGAGAGTCGGACTCGTAAGTCTCGAGTCTCGTACCGGCAGGGATTGTAGGTGGGGGGGGGGGGAGTGAATGTACAGCGCTCTCTTCCACCTTCAATACCACGACTGAGGTGACCTTGAGCAAGGCACCGAACCCCCAACTGCTCCCCGGGCACCGCGGCATAAATGGCTGCCCACTGCGTGTTCACGGTGTGTGTGTGTGCACTTTGGATGGGTTAAATGCAGAGCACTAATTCCAAGTATGGGTCACCATACTTGGCCACATATCACTTTCACTTTCATATATTAATAAGAATGACATGTACATGGTTCAGCTGTGAGTTCATGTTAATTTTATAGGGGGAATACCTTGGCCTGGCCTTGGAGTTGCAGGTGGGCCAATGGGTTGAGCCTCTAACTCCTTCAGAGAAAACGAAACAAAAACATGAATATTTGCACATATGTAATAGATTAATTTGTAGATTTAATATTAAGGTACTTACAAGCTTTTTCTTAGAGTCTGGGTCAAACCGTTCCAGAATCAGCTTGGCATTTTTGTAGGTTTCAGTTTCCATGACCTGTTCAAGCTGTTTGAGAAAACATTACAATCACGTAATCACAATTACATCAAACGGTGATGCCAACTGACTAACATTAAATACTGAAAACATATATTGTCAGGAATTTCAAAAACCTTTTCGATTTATAAAGAATGCATCTGTCCAAGTCAAATGAAGGAGCTAGACCTGCTGCTTATATTTGGGTTTAAAAACAGAAAGAAACTCAACCCGTTTTCTCACCGTCTTCTGTTTAGTTTTATTTTAAAACTTAATTTCAGGGAAAGAGCAAATAGTGCTAATTATTTAACTTTAATGAATAGAATAATTACAAGCCCTACTGCGATAATGGGGAGTGTGAAAATCCATCAGCTGTAATTATTGAAAGTTATTAGACATGACAGTGGATGACAAGCAATTTCTCAGATTTATTTCCTCCCATCACTAAACACTATTAATTTAAAGACAAGTCGTTACCCAAGCACTTTACCAAGTAAAGTCTCTTTGCCAATTACCCGCTGTCTTCATTGATTTCAGATTATTTATTAGGAGCAGAAATGATCTTTCTCTCACTGACAGCAGAGGGGCACAATATGATGAAAGGAAAACAGGACGTTGTTGTGCTAACATTAGCATAGGGCTAACCAGCTCACAGGGGAAGAGGGAAGCACCCTGACTAGGTGAAATTCGCTCATATTAAAAGACCCTACCATATATGAGAAATATCAGAAAACAGATGCAAAGTAGGCCAAAATGAACTACACCAGGAAGTGACATTCAAAGAAAGACACTGCTACTGATTACTCACTATTTTCTTTTTGTCTGCTTTCAGCTCTTCTAATTTTTCATCTAAGATGCAAAAAATAAAAAGAACAGAAAAATGAATGCGTAGATATGATCAACACTACTGGGTCTACATAGTAGACTGACCTCATAATGAGAACAAATATAAAATTAAGTTCAAATCCAGATTTCGCTGCTGTTTACGGTTCGCAAGGAAATTCTTACTGTTTGTCTCCGTTCGTCTGTTGTATAAAACAATCAGCAGTTTCCTCAGCAGCCAAACTCTGCAGACAGGAAAAAAACTCATCACCATGGTATTTTTGATATTCATACACATCAAATAACTAGAAAATGTACACTGAATCAAAACCAAATGCATACATTTGACTATCCTTCTACTGGTCTGAATTCAAAGACTGAAAGTACTTACAACAGAGGAAATATCAAGAATGGTGATGCCACAATTAATTTTCCCATCATCTGCTCAGGGATGTACCACGTGTAGACGACTGTACAGGCTATCAAGTACAGCAGGGCTGAATACAACAGCAGTCTGTAAACCCATAACTTCAGCTGCTTCTGGTTCTTCTCTCTGTATTCCTCAAGGGCCTGGATATCCTGAGGGAGATCAATTAAAACACTCCATAAAACTCCATAAGGGCAGGGATTACATTTATTCATTTGGCAGATGCTTTTATCCAAAGCGACTTACAGTTAAAAAAACAACAACAAGCGATTCATCATAAGATGGCAATGAACATCAGAAGTTTTCAGTCATAGTTCAAAACATTAAAAGCTAGGAAAGGAAGCTATTAAGAAAAAATAAGGGCGTAAAAAAGTGAAAGAAATAGATTTCTTTCTCTTTTTTTTGAATTAGTAAGTTGCATTCAAATAGCAGGATAAAAACTGCTTAGATATGGAGTATCATTCATATTTAATTACATTTTTACCAAAATTACAACAAGAAAAAGCACGTTATGTGTTTGTCTTTAAAATTGTACCTAGTATTGAATAGGAAAATAGTATTGGAAAAGTTGTGTTGTCTAAATACCTAAACCAGAACTTGAGAGACTGGCTCTGATCAGAACCTGCAAAACTTTAATTTAACTGCGCACTGATCTAATCTTGTCATGATACGAATCAGGTCAAACGTGTTTAAATCTCATGTCTTTGACTTCTAAACGGTAAACGTACAAACAAGTTTTTTGTACAATACTCAGCCAAGCTCTAAGATATGGCAATTGAACAGACCTCTCTTAATGAGGTGTTACTACATTGCCTCCATCCTAAAATATCTAATGCCAGTTACACAGTGCCTGTACTGTGGCAGACTTGTGTGTCTGTCTGTAACCTTGTGTTATTCTATGAGCCACAACTGAACCTAAAAATAAATAAAACAAGTCACCTTCAAAAAAATGTGTAAATATACCTGCACTGTAATTAAGACCAGTTCAAGTATTTCCATGGCCTAACTGCATAAGGACACCATCAATGTCAGGAAAGTATAACAGACTGAATGGGTGATGTCAGGAATGGTTGAAAGGCCTATTGCAGTTTTATACCTTATCAAGACCCTCCAAGACCTCCACAGTGGTTGGCTTTGCCTGTGGATGGATACAGTACAGTTGGCAACAATAAAGCAAGCTCTCACCAAGAATAAAGCAATCTTTGCACAGCTGAAATTGGTAGGAGGTACAAAAGGTACAACAATTGTGAAGTTTCTCTATTTAGATTTCTGTATACCTCTCAGCATGTTATATCAAATCACACTTTTAATAGTGAGACCTTTGAAAGAATAATTCACCCAAAAATTAAAATCTGCTGTAAATTTACTAACCATCATGCCATCCAAGATTAGCATTATATCACTTGCTCAGCAATGTATCCTCTGCAGTGAATGGGTGCCGTCAGAATGAGAGTCCAAACAGCTGATAATAACTTCTTGTGAAGATCAAGCATCAAAAGCAGTCCATAAAATATATAATCAAATATGTCCGTGGATTTTGATGCAGGATGTGATTTTGATGGACATTTTCACTGGAGGAAGCGTTATTATGGATTGCGGACTTCTATTTTGGCCACAAGCGACAGTTTAAAGTTAAAACACCTTAACATAATAGATTTGTTTCTTACAAACATGCAGTTTTTCCCTTCACAAGATTACTTGGATTACTTGTGGATTATTGTGATGTTTTTAATCAGCTGTTTGGACTCTCATTCTGACAGCACCCATTCACTGCAGAGGATCCATTGCTGAGCATTGAGCAAGTGATGCAATGCTACATTTCTACAAATCTGATGAAGAAAAACTCATCTACATCTTGGACGGCCTGAGGGTGAGTACAATTTCAGCTAGTTATCATTTTTGGGTGAACTGTCCCTTTAAAGCTTTGTAGCAGTCCATATATCTGTGTGGCATTTCGATCAAACCACATTAAAATCAAATTGCAGACCTTAACATTAATATTGGATGCAGCCTAAGTGTACATCTTTGAGTGACTGAAGCACATTTACCCTCCACCGAGACAGCACAGCCCCCATCTTGTGAGGGCAGTCCTTCTCTCTAAGCCTGGGCTCTGTTACTCTTGTTACTCCACGCCGAAGCCAGACACCTGCTCACAATAAAGACAACAGTTTCTTTCAGCAATAACAATATTTAAGTAACAAACAAGATCATGATAGATGTGTTTCCACTTGAGATAACATGGATTATAACCTCTGCAGGCTTTCATTTACAGTATTTAAATGCTTAAGTCACACTTGTAAGAAGTGTGTATATCTTCAAAACCACATTTATGTTTCTAATCCATTTAATTTTTAGTCAATGTATTTAGTCGCTTCTCAAGTTCACACAGGTGTCCTAGCAGAGGAACCACGGGTGTAGACAATCACATTAACTAGCAGCATGTCTTAATTTCAACAGTGTATCTACTGCTTAGTCATTTCAAACCACACAAACTTCTTTTCAAGAGTGTATCTGTGCCATCTTTCTTCACATCAAATACCTCTTCGTTTTCTGTTGCAGTGGCATTAAGAAACTGTGGCTCATGCAGGCTTAGATGCATCAGATCGGTGATATCAAATATCACCACAGCTCACACAAAATCTGGAGGCTCTGAAAAGTAATAAGACACTCCTCTATTTTAAACCAGAGTCCTCGAGAGCTCAGACAGAGGGGCCCTTCAACCACACAGACTGGTTTGAGAGTGAATGAAACTGGTGGGAAAACTGCGAGGAGCAGCAATGAAAGCCCCTTTATTTATAACTTCATTCAGCCTCACCCGTTCAACTTGAGACTAATGCGTTTTAAGAACAGAAAACAAAATCAAGCTCTTATATCTCAGGAAAATCAGGTTGACTGTGAAGCTTTAAAAACTACCTTTTAAAACAGATATACTTGTAACTAGTTGAGTTTTTACTATCTCTGTTTCTAGTTTCGATATGTTAGCTGAAACATTGCGCTTTAAATGTGTTATTAAAGAATAAACTCGACGACTGATGATATTTCCGAAAACTACAATAGCAGGAATCCTTTAATTTTTATATGCAGATTTAAAAAGCATCAGCTTAGACTCGTTGCTGTCAGCTGATACAGCGGCCATTATTAGACGAAATGCTGTGCTCTCTTTCATGCAGCTTTCTTGTGCATAAACACGCCGAACCCTGTCATAACGAAACATAATTTAGGATTCCTCACCCGTGAATAAGATATCCAGACGAGACTTGCCTTATGCTTCCTCTGCTTCAGCGGTCTACGTCGTCAAACTGCTCCCACAAGCCCGCGCGGCACGGAGTCGGACCTCCTTCCTTCACCGTTCTGCCACGTGATCAAGCACTTTCTCTCTCTCTCAAAGCGCGGGAAAATAGAACGAACGTTGCGCCGTTCTTCCTTAGAGTTCACCTCAGCACGGAAACAAGTGGCTTATTGCAAAAATACATATAATACTGCAAATAATACTATAATAGATAATACAAATTATGTTGCTGATCTTGCTGTTACTGTATTTGTGAACAAAAGTCGTGTAAAAATGAACTAAAAGCGTTATTCTATACAACTTTTAGGCTATTTAA